TAACACATAGACACGAGAACCAGTTGATCAAAGAGTTCCACATGGTCTCCATTGTGTTAATATGGTCATATGATTCCAGATGTATAAAAAGAATCAAAGTTACAACTGCTTTGTGGGTTTCTCCCAGCCAGGTCTTTAGACAAATTGTACAACTTTGCTGACTGCGCTGGTCTGCACCTGATCCTGGGTCTCAACGCGCTGCACAGAAACCCTGACAACTCCTGGAACACTTCCTCCACCCTGAGTCTCCTGAAGTACAGCGCTAGCAAGAAGTACAACATCTCCTGGGAGCTGGGCAATGGTCAGTACAGCATCACACCACATACTAAAGAACACAATAGGCTATAATTTGTAGTTATACGAAAGTTTATGTGTACTTTTAGTCAACTTCTATCCTTAATGTAGCAGCACTGTGGGAATTATTGCTTCATTTGATTACAATTATCATAATCACTGACTAGAAATCCATATAAAAAGTGATGACTTTAAGTGTTGCTGATACAACCTGAGGTCATGATATTTTATACAGTAGAATTTTACATATATATTTTAGCAGTTGCTGTACAGAAAACAAAATATGCACACAGACCACAGTCTTAGACCAGCAATTTTAGACAAAATCCCCAAATTAATTAACTAAAAATTAACCAAGCTGAATGTCAACACTTAATCAACTCTAAACTGATCCCTAAACAATTTACAGCAGTGCACATAAACTTAACGGTTTCTAACTTAAGCAGTCTAAAACAGTTTTTTACTTTTGATTAGTTCAATAAAGCCCATTTTAAAGTTCAGAATACATCTTTGTTCACTAAAACAGTGCTATGAGAAAGCAGTTACACATTTTGTTTATGTAATATTCACTGGTTTTGTCAGCTTTAATAGAGACATTGTTTAAATAATGCACAATAAGTATGAGTGTAGCACTTTAAGGGTTAAGGTGAGGTTTTATTCAGGGATGAAAGGAACCGCTAGTCCTCATGTCATCCTAACCATCTGTGTTCCTGGGGAGCTGCAGTGCAGCGCACACAGAGTCCTGTTTGCCTGCTGCACACCACTTCATATTTTCATTTCATTTAATCTCTAGTAAATCTCACAATAGAAACCTCTATTTTAGTCCAAGCTTAAAAGTACCATGCAAAATTCATTGATTGGACCATGTTAAATTTTAGTGGGGGCTTCAACCATAGCAAAAGTAATCATTTCAAGTAAGTCATCCAGATGTATTTGCAGCGGGTGAATGAAAAGGTGATCCTTTGAAATTTGCTAATAATATTTTCATTATAGTTTTCAGGAACACAGCACACGACACAGCCTGGTGCTGATATAGTCACAGTGTTCTCTAGTAGAGTGGTTAAACAACAGTGGGCCTGCAAAAGTTTAGTTTCCCTCCCATTGGGGAAGCTCCTTTATTCACTTTGTTTTTTTTTTTTTTACTGATTCTGCAAGGCCACCCCACATGTTTGGACCTTCCCCTGGCACTGAGTCCATCTGTCTGTATTACTGCGAATTGCCCAGTTACCCTTTTTTCCACTGGCTGTTGGATGCTCTCTAGGAGACAAAGATCTGACAACAACAACACATTTCTCTGCCATTTCCATACTGTTACTTGTATAATCCCCATCTCTCTGGCTCACTGTATTCCACCTCCTCTTCCCAGAGCCTAATGCCTACCGCAGTATGGTGGGTCGGGCGGTCAACAGCACCCAGTTGGCTCAGGACTACACCATGCTGCGTACCCTGCTGCAGTCTGTGCGCTACTACCACCGAGCTCACCTGTACGGCCCCAATGCGGGACGACCCCGGAAGAATGCTGTTCTGCTGCTGGATGGGTGAGTCGGCACGTAAAACACTGATTGGCCAGGATTCTGCTCCTTGTTAGGCCATGCTGCTGGAATAAAGGGGTAGGCAGTGGAAAGTATGCTGCAGCAGTTTCAGACTTTTACTGAGCTTATATGCGCACACACATACACACATTGTAGTAGTGTTCAGTGTTTATGGATTTCCAGTCTGCAGTTGCTAGGGTCTCAGCTCCAGTTATATCATGTCAGCCTAAATATAGTTTCATCTGATTGATAATGTGACAGCACAACATCCCACCTGCTGGTTTTACCCAGAAGCTCCGCCAGCTTCAGTTTGATTCTGATCAACTATCTAAGAACCGTCTCTCAGCTCTAGCTGGTTCCTTCCTGAGTTTGTATGGTGAGATGTCATACTTTTTTATTATACCTTTACTGCAAAGAAAACCATATAAGAACTTTTTCTCTTCTTCTTCCCTACATTAATAATGTACCTGCAAATGTTTCTACTTACCTAAATGGGAAACAAACCATATCTCTAACCCCAAGGGGGTTGTCTTCTGCAATGCTTAACCTGACCCCAGCTTTACTAACCTTACGGTCAGCAGCAGTCATACCCTGACATATTCTCCTCCTTTCAGTGTTCTCCCATAATATGTATTATTGTGGCACTGAAAATCAAAATCATTTCACAAAGGTGAACAAATGTTAGCGTCTGACGCTACAGGTCACTGTACACCAAAACAACCAGACACAAGGACAGTTTCTTCACCTGGGTCATTACACTGATGAACACTTGCCTTGAAAATATACCTTTGTATATATGTACCTTAAAACTTCCATCTAAATTGTGTATATACACATATTATATATTTTATAAATACTTTATTTTTCTAATGTACATTCTTTTTTGTGTTTGCACATTTGTGTTTTCTTGTTCTCCCAGTCTTATCTTGTTTTTCTTATGGAAGAACTTTGTACATGCACACTGAGAGCCACTGTACCGGAGTCAAACTCCCCATGTGTTCAGATTTTGACTGAGATTCATATGTGATCAAATGTTTTCAAAAGTCATTTGGATATTGGCTGCATCTCTTATATCCTGACCATACTAAAAACATCCCTCAGATTAAATGTGTATTAGACATTGAATACAGGTATGTGCAGGGGTTAAACTGACCCCATGAGAGCAGAGCTCCTTCCTGGCTTCCACACAGCACCTTACTGGATTTCAGCGCTGTCTCCTTAAGTATCATAGTGTTGCTATTTCTCATGCAAGTCTCTTCGTCCTCTTTCAGACCAAACAAATCTGTGGTCATCACACAGCTACATGTTTGTTATGTGTATCCATCTTGAGAGAGTGGCAGTATGTAACTTATGCATGCAGCACAGCAGCCATAGCTTCTTCATTATTTAAATTTGCTTATGTGTCATTGCGATCTTACAGCAACCTCATTAACCTAAATGCTTTTCTGCACAACCAGCCGGGCAGCTGCTACACAGAGATTTTAAGTTTGTATAGTGAAGTTATCAGGAACAGAGCTGCTCAGGATGAGTCCAGCGCCACTGAAAGCTGTTGGTACATTAGCTTTCTAGTCGTGTGCCGCCAGAGATTTACACAGGAAATAAGACAACCAGAAGTGACCGAGGTAGAAGATATAGCTCGGACTTTAACTAGAGTTGGTAAACGGTGGACAGCACTCCTTTATCCTTTTAAAACATTCCATAAAGTTATTGTAATGTGTGCTACAGTTGCTGTGCTGTCACTCACACACTCACACACACACTCACATACACACGCAAGTGCATGTGCAGATACATGCACAGGAACACTTTATTGTCTCAGTTTATCTCAGCCTGAATCTGTGTTCAGCTCCTCTCTGCAACCATACACATTCTGACAGGTAGTTGGAAAACAGAGGAGAATGAAAAATTCAATACGGGTCTCCCTTCTCTATGTGCTTGAGCTACTTGCATCAGTGAAGCCATTAGGAGCTGCTGTTTATCTCTCTGAGCACTGGCAGTTCAAATTGACTAGTAAATAAAAGGTGTGTGTTTGTGTGCACCAGTGTGTGTATGTGTACTGTACAGATCAGACTGACTGATGAGCAGTGGACTCAAAGGGAAGGGAGGATGTTGTGGACAAGTGGTGAGAAGAGGCAGAGGAGTGAGAGGATGAAGAGGACAGAGCTGGAGTATCCGCAGGTCACAAGTGTCGCATTTAACGACAGGGTGATTCTTCTGTGTTTGACACTGTTACGAGGGGCTGGCTCTTGTGTTTGACAGCCCGACTACTCTGCTGCTCTCTGGAAATAAGATGAATTAGACACTGCCCTGCTCAACAATCCAAATATCAGAGCCTCACAGACTAAACAAGCCAGAATTGTGAAAGTTGTGTTTTAGTGACATGATGTTTAGAGATGTCCTTTTGGACATGTCGGACAATCTGTTACCCCCAAATATGGAGCGATGCGAGTCAGGTAGACTAGGAGACACACAAACACACAGATGCAGACGCTCAGGAGGAGGAACGCAGAGAGGAGGAAGAACTGTGTATGTGTTGAGGTTGTGTTTGTGTATAGGATGAGACCATTAAAAGAAAACCTGCATTTTTGTGTGCACTCTAGGGATGTTTGGAGTTTGTATTTGAATAACAAAAAGCAAAGTCTACAGGCTGCATGAACCATACCTGAAAATGCTTAAAGTGCTGTGTACTGTTTTGAAAAATTAATAGGGTTTTAAATTGATTGTTTCTCTTATTTTTGTGATTATCAGTTTTGCCGTATTAACTAAAACACGTGAAAATATAGGTAAATGTTAAACTTATACCTGATTTAACAAATAAATTATTCATTAATGTGTCATTATGTCACCACAAATTGATATAAGATAGATTTTCATAATATGTACAGTACAAAAGAAAGTCCTCATTTTACATTTCTCTCGTAGGCCAACCTGGAAGTTAGCATCACCCTGGTTTCCTTGTCAAAAATGGGATTTGTTCTATAGAATTTTGGATTACTGTGAAAAATAAGCTCTGTGAAAAACAACTGTTTATGACCCTTACACATTTTGTTTAGCAAGATAACCTTCACAGGTGAGATGAACGCCAGTTTTAGGATTTTTGAAGCCCAAATACGATAAAGTAAAAAGCTATTGTTAGGCTGCACCACAGTGCCATGACTTCAACGTCACCACCACAGCTTCTAACTTGTGATTTGATTTATATTACCTCTTCTGCAAAATCCTTTCCTCTTAGTGTGACCTGGTCTAACTAGTGATCATGGCTGTGTAAGCTAGAATAGTTTGCAAGTGCGCAACTTTAAAAGTAACAAGGCTCTAAAGGCAGACTAGTGTGTAGATGAGTCTCCGCGCTCAGCGTGATGTTAACCTTGTGTTAACCACAGACCTTCTTTCAGGTATCTAAACAAAAACCGATGCAAAAATACTAATTCATTTCTGGATTTTAGGACTCACTACTGCAGCACTGAATAAGACCCAGGATGTAAACAAATTGTCTTCATGTTTGAAGCAAAACGGCCACTCGGGTTAAGATATCTCTGTTTTTCTGACCTACAGGTTCATGAAGAATGCTGGCTCAGTTGTAGATGCAGTTACGTGGCAACAGTAGGTATTTTACCCTTTTTTCCTTATTTTATTATTTTGTCCCTTGAACACCCCAGAACTGATCTGCAGTCTTCTAAAAGAGTGGATCATTCACTTAACTAACCATAAATCTAACAGTACAGGCCATGTTTTGCCTGTATCACCACCACAGTAGTCAGTACTAATCATTATTAACACTGTTACTGAGAAAGACCGATGCATAATGTGGAAAACTGGGTTTATCGTGCAACAACAGGAAAAGAGCACACTCACTTTTTTTGGCCTGTGTGTGTGTTAAATTAGTAACACCTGCCTATTGTATATTGCGCATACAAACATATCAGCGGTTTGATCTTGTTTTCCATGTTTTATCTGTATCTTTTTACACGCATGTAAAATGTGTACAAAAAGACGCTCACTGTAAGCTCAGGCAAGCCTTGTGTGACTGAGTGAGCAGTCATGAAGGTGAAGGTCAGGTCTAATTAGGAAAAATTAGAAGAAATGGAAGGAAGAAGGTTGTCAGCAAGACTTAGGAAAACACCACCCACACTGCCAAAGTCAAACCATATGCTCTGGTTCATTCCCTCTGTCAATTAGCCTGTTTTACACTAGAGGTCCAGATTCCAGTCTAACTAGGCAGCGTGACAGAAACTCCGACCTCCACAAAAGAAGCCAAACTAATAATAATGGAGACCACTCATTAACAGGTCTACAACACAGGTCTCATTCCACTGCAGCTGATTTGCGTTGTTTTGACACACGAGCGGTAAGGTTGGAAAGCAGCATTCATTATGAACTGATTTAGATGGGGAGTACATCTGTCTGTGGTTTGCAGTCAGAGGTGTTCCGTGGTTGATGCAACATGTTGGTTATGTAGTGAAATATTTATATGCCTTCAGATCATGACATTGATATGTGGTTTGCATGATGTTGTGACAGTTTATTCCACAACATTGTAGCTTCACATTTGCAGCATCTTGTCTCAGTTACTGCTTATTCATTTTTGGATTCACCAGCAAAACTGATCAGAATGTTTTGTCATTTCTGTCTCTGTCGCTTCTCTTTCTTTCCATCTTTCTGAAATATTGTTTTCTTTTGCTTTTGTACAAAGAGTGTGCCCATTTTTCTAAAGATGCTTGGCTGGAGATCTATATGTGCACTTTTTTTGTCTTTTTGTTTTTCTAACCACTTTAACCCAAACCTAACTTACGATTTTAAGTAAGTTAAAGGGTCCGTTCATCCAAGTTTGTCATTTACCCAAAACAGTCTGTATACATGCAGACTGTTTTGGGTTTAGTTTTTAGATACAAGTCTGAGATTTTCTGCCTCCATGTCAATACTGTGGAGGTGAATGGAATTAAATATGTGGTGCACACAGCACATAAAATAAAATCAGTGAGCACATCTCACTCCATCAGTATCCCTGTTAATCTGATTTATCTTATGATTTAGCTCAAAACACCCAGAAGAAAACAAGATTCTGAAGTTGAGCTGTGTCCAGATTGTTTCCCTGGACATACTGAAGCTTTTTTTTCACACCAGTTTGAGATCTTGATCTATTTTATACATTTCAATTGTAGCTCCTAAGAAATAGTCTCCAGATCCTATTTTAAGCTCTTACATTGTTCCAGATTTGGAAACAACTCATCTCTAGAGATACAACCAGGCAACCAATTAAAGGAACAACCTTAATAAATGAGTTAATGACAGTCCCCCCATCCATTGTGCACAAGGGGTCACTGAATGGTTTGATGAGTGTGTTAATCATATGCTATGGTCACCAGATCTCAACCCATTTAAAAACCTATGGGAGACACATCAAGCCGACAGTCGGCCATTGTGGGGACGTCGGTGAGCGTCTGTCAGTGCTCATCTTCCCATTGTGTCCCGCACCGCTGGCACTAGTCTGACCCTGTCGGGAGCAGACCAAGAGCAGAGAACGGCAGTGCTATTTGCAACTTCTTATAAACACAAGCTGTTTTGAACAAGAGCTGCTTTGTTTATACTTATATTTCTGCTGTCTAGCTCTTCGTCTTTCCCTTTTTGAATGGCAAATACTGATACTGCCACCTGCTGCTAGGGGGAGTTATTTCTCTCACACAGACAGAACATGCACGCTAGCTGGAATCTTCAGGAAAGTTTAGTCGTATCACAGTACATTGTTGAATATTTATTTATCTCACTTAAGACAAAAATGGCTTTTAGTACAAATTTGAGGAAAAGGTCAAACAAAGGATCCTCACACTGCACTTAGCAAATTTAACAGAGCAACATTTCAGTTTATATGAGATCTTTGTCAGGCATTGCTAATTCATTCCTGAGAAATCTATGAGCATGTTGTAAGATCTCCCTCAGTTCTTTTGCAGTTCCAGTTCCTGGGTAACTTTTCTTAAATTGATCTTAGCGTTTGCTCCATATTTCTCCTAGGTGGGGTTTAGGAAAGAAAGTTCAGAACTCAGCACACTCAAAATAAGAATCTGATTTACTTCTCAGGGGACAAAGGAAGGGCAGTTGTTGAGCAGCACAGTTTTTCCTTTGGCAGTGCTGTGCTTAAGTATAGTGTTGCAGAGGTTCTAGCATTGCTTTAGTCTTATTTCAGTGCTGGGAGCACTATGAGCAAACTTCCATTCACCACTTTTATAATGGGGTTTTGGCAGTAATGTCAGCATAATTTCCCAGGTTTTGATATAATAAAACCAAAACTCTATCTGAGAAAACATGTTTTTTATAATTTAGGTGGACTGTTTCTTTAATCAAACACCGACACCTTCATCCTTAGCCATTAGTGAACATGTTTGGACCTAATGGGCTGCTTACTGGTGAGAGAATTAGGTTAGTCTGAAGTGTGAGACCAACCAGCTGCCAGATTTAGCTGTGAAGATATGAGCAAGAAATGTGAGCAAGACAGACTTTTTTTTGACAAAATTTGGTGTTTCAGTGCCTCTGAGCAACACACTTAATGTGAGCCCTAGTTGTTTCTGCAGTGGAGTATTGGTGGTGTGAACATCTGAAGCACAAGCCCCCCGCCAAACTCGTTTACATTATGAAATGAGGAAAGATGCACTTCATGAACCTTACTTTTGAAAATGAGCACTTCTTGCACCAGAACTGTGGCCTGAAAGCAAATCAGAGGCATTTTTACTTTTTTTCAGAGACATACAGTGTCTTCAGAAAGTATTCTGACCCCTTCTCTTTTAAGTTGTAAGGTTAATTTTAAAACGATAAAAATGCTGTTTGTGCTTATCAGTCTACACTTCAGTAGCCACTAATGACAAAGTTTAGACATTTTTACAAATCTCTAAAAAAAATCTATTCAAATCAAATCTTTCATTAACAAAAGTATATCGACTTTCAGTACTTTGTGGAATCCCCTTTGGCAGCAATTACACCTTACAGTCTTCTTGGGTAAGTAAGCTGTGCACACCTGGATCTGGGTAGTTTCTCCCAATATTCTTGGCTGATACTCTCAAGCTACATCAGATTGGATGGGAAGCATCTGTGAACTGCCACCTTCAGGTCTCTCCACAGATGTTCTGTGGGATTTACGTCTGGGCTTTGGCTGGGCTGTTCAGGGACAGTGAGAGAGACTTGTCCTGAAGCTACTTCAGTGTTGTCTTAGCTGTAGGTTGTACTGAAAGATGAACCATCATCCCAGTCTGCAGCATGATGCCGACACCACCGTGCTTCGCCATAGGGCTGGTATTAGGCAGGTGCCTGGTGTTTTCTAGACATAGTGTTTGGACTTCTGCTGTCAAAGAGTTAAATTTTTGTTTCATCAGATCACAGACTCTTTTTTTTCTCCTGCTCTGAGTCCTTTACAGTAGATGCAGTTTGGCAACATGCAATGGGGCTGTCATGTCTTTTCAACACTTGGAGTCCTGGTGGTTCCAAACTTCTTCCACTGTGCTCCTGAGAACACGCAAAGCTTTACAAATAGTTTTATTCCCTTTACCTTTATCTATCCCTCACCATAATTTTATAACTGAGGTCAACAGAGAGTTTTCCCTGGACTCGGGCTTGGTTTTTTTTGTCCTGACATACAATGTGAGTTGTGGGACTTCATATACACAGGTGTGTGCCTTTCTGTGCGTGCCACAGCGCTTGATTCCAGTCATTTGCAGACACAACTCAACGATAAGTAAAGCAGACCACAGCAAGTGAGATTTCAGTTTTTAATTTGTATTAATAAAAAATAGTAATAATTTAAAATCTCCAAAAACTGCTTTGTTGTCTCACTAAACGTAGATTGATGTGCAAAATGGACAAATTATACATTTAAAATTAAACATACAATAAAATGTGCAAAAAGTCAAGGGGTCTGAATACTTAAGCCACTGTATATGTTCATCGGTTTTACTTTTTGCAGCTAAGCGGTCACATTTTAAACAGGCCAGGAGTGGCCCTGCATGCTAGAGAGCCTGGCGTTCTTCTTGCTCACAGCTGAGGGGAGAAAAAAGAGATGTTAAAGATTTGTGACCTTTCTCTCCATCTGAAAATCACAGAGGGACTATAAATTTAGTGATGACTGAATTTACTGACTTCAGCTGCTATGTAATGATTGATCTGATGATAACTGCTGGTCCACATCAAGAACTCATTCTTACTTTGCTTCCCCTCCACTCACCCTAAATCTCTTGGTACACCACATGGCTGTTCATTGACACTTAAATGTGCAGTCAGTGTAACCTAACTGGTATATAGATTCTTAACCCCTTTTTTAACAGAATAAGGGTTTAAAAATAAAGAAAGGTGTCCAGGTAGAGGATGTTAACATTAGTCACCAGGAAAAAAGTGTCCTCTGTGATCATTACGCAACCATCATGTAAATGGACCATTATTCTTTATGTATTTGTAAATGTTTACAATATAGGGCTTTTAGTTTTAGTTGAGTATTTTTACATTTTTGGTACTGATACTCTTCTACCTCTGCTTCTGTTCCTGTCTGTCTCTGTGTTTCTGTTAATCAAGTGCTGGATAAATTTTTTTTAGGGAGCTGTCTTTGATGTGGTGCTGGCACTCAATGGGAGCTGTGTAAAGCAAGCCGACCAATTGGATCTCTTGTGTGAAAACACTCGGACACTGTGTCGTTCACTTTTTCATTTTATGGAATCCTGGTCCGTCTGACAGTTAAAACATTGTGTCACATGTTGGATGAACAAAGAAAAGGACTTTTGTTCTGTTTTAGGAGTTTAGACTGGACAATTTTATGAACACCGAGCTATTATCTCTTCATCTCTGGTCAAGATACTACAAGACAGTTTTCTTTATAGTCATTTTGTTATGAGGTTTCTGCTCTACTGACCCCTGTTCTACCGATGCAAAACTTTCCAGTAGTACTTATTTGCAGTACAAAATATAGCTTTACTAATTGCACCATCTTATTTTGTTTCCATATATGAACTGGAATTTCTTTCTGTGGGATCTGGACTAAAGAATTATTGTAAGCACTCTGGAAAGATGACAGGATAACCAAATAATTTGTGTAAAGCTATGACTTTATCCGTGTGTTGTTTACACTTTGAGGCCAGGAATGAGGCTAAGCTCAGATTGCAACACCGCTGCACCCCACGTGAACAAAATTCATCTCTGTCCTCTGCAGTTTTGTCCACACATTTTTGCTGACTTTCCCAAAACAGGGTTAATAGAGGTTTGACATTGGTTCTTTTTTTGTGTAGTTTTGTTTTGAAGCTGCATTTATATGGTCTTCTTGTCTTTTGGCCTTAGTATCCACAATACAGTGCAATTCTCTCTTTGCAGTCTCCACAGTGTGACAAATTGGAGACATTTGGCCATTCACTCAGTAACTGGATTGACTCATCATAGTTTTCTTGGAGAGTTTCCCATTTTGGTAGATAAAAAATCTAAACTAGCACAAAACATTTGCAGCTTTAATCAGGTATGAACTGATCTGGTGTGTTATTAATAACAGTTAGGGCTTTAGAAGATTCAGAGGAGAACTCTGCTATGCAATGAGTCTTTCTTTTAAAAATCTCCTATTAACAGGTGTTGTATCCGTTTTTGTTATTTCTTTTATTATGTCGTGGTAATGTAAAAAAAATTGACTAAAAAATTTGACAAATACTTTTTCTTAATTTAGTTTTGAAAATATTTGGTAGGTTTTGTGCCAAATATTGCCTCTACACAAGCCATTTTACCTTTTGTGGATATTTTTCTCATGCATCAGTCTTGGCCCTGCTTTTGTCCTTGTGTGACACTTTACGTAGACTATAAGCAGTTTCACTGAAGAGACTCAGTTAAATAATGTTCTGAAACATGGGTGTGTGGTTGTTGCTCTTGTGTTTCTTCTCTTGGACTCTTGTAGAGGATCTTGGAGAGGCTTTCTATCTGCCCACAGGCTGGTGTTCCTCAAGACTTTGGCTCTAACTACTTATGAATTCTTCTTATCTCTTAACATCACCTCTTATTATAATCTCTCTCTGTCTTTATCCTTCACACACAGAATCACCAGAGATGCATGTCTGCGTTGTTTAGTTTTTATGAAATCTCATTGCTTCCAATTCCCCTCATGCAATCTGACATTTTCACACACAGACTGTCAGTACATTGAAGTATAATTGAATACTGTATGTCATAGCGTACAAGGTGTTTCCCTCACAGCATTTCCCCTGCATTTCCTTTACAGTTATTACATGGATGGCAGAGTGAGGACAGTGGAGGACTTCCTAAAAACTCGTCTACTGGACACACTGACAGAGCAGATTAGTAAAGTCACCAAGGTACTTCAGTCCTGAAATGTATTATCTACTATAAATAATCTCAGTGTGTATCTAGTGTATGTACATACTAGATATATCCCACATCAACAATTTCTGAAGTGGATGCTTGAAGAGATTCTAGCTCTCGATCTGTACTGTAGATACAAAATTTGTTTAATGTCTGGCTCTATCAGAGGTCATATCTCAGGTCTTCTCCCTTTTCCCAACATCTTTTATTTTTGGAAATGTTGACTTTAAGGCAATCTCAAAGGCAGATATGAAGAAATAACTCATTTTTATCATGAGATATAGTATATTTGCATATCTTCCAAGTCTGCCAAGTTATGGATTGCTCAGATCTCAGCTAGTTTACAGTATGTAATGATAAAGCCACATCTGCAAACCACAAGAGCGAGCCCTCAGGGTAAAAGGTTTGTGTCCACCATGAGGTAATATTATCAACAATAACTGCTGTGGCAGACTTGCTGAGTTGAAAAAAATGAACAGCTCCAAAGTGCCTCAGGGTAAAAGAAGCAATCATTCCCCAAAACAAAACTTAAAACAGTCCGTGAAATGTAACAGGAGAGAGGATATGTAGAAGTCTGTTGGTGCCAACTGCAATGACCTTCCACTGAAGCTCTTTCCACTAAATTAAATTTGACTGAAAATGATTCATTAATTCGAGACCAAAAAGTGGAGCTTTCACGTAATTGATTTCAGCGTAGATTTTGTTGATACACCTGCATTTCCTTCACTCATTGCAGGCTGTGAACACACATACTCCTGGTAAGAAGGTGTGGCTGGGTGGACTGGGGCCGGCATGGGCAGGAGGCATTAGTAATCTCTCTGACACATATGCTGCTGGCTTTCTGTAAGTATTGCTATCATACTGTAAGAAAACCACTGTGGTGTGATTTGATGATAATGATGTATGTGACAATAATGAACTGAACCATCAGCACAAGAACATATATTTATTCCATATGCATTATATATTTTTATTGGAAATCAAAGGCAGCTACAGCATTACTATTTCTTTTCCCTCTGTATGTGTTTATATATGTGTATTCCAGGTGGGTGAACACGCTGGGTATGGCTGCTGTACAGGGAATAGATGTGGTCATGCGTCACTCATTTTTTGACTATGGATACACACACCTTGTGGACCAGCACTTTAATCCTTTACCTGTAAGTCTCTCAGTTTCACTTTTGCATTGTAGGAGCCTCAGTTCAGCTTTGTTCATGGACCTTTTCTGTATCAGACCCAGTTGCTCGATGGCACCTCTTGCTTTTTCCCGTGGGAGCTATTAGCTGAGATGAAAGGTGTTTAGCGGCGATGAGTGGCTAGACACAGGAGCGAAACGCTATGTAACCTTAGCCCTTTGTCAGTAGCTCAGGACAGTGTCGCTGCTCCCCGCAACCCCCATCCCAACTGTGTGCTTCTCTGTGTGTGACAGTCAGCCAGTGAGGGAGCTGCAACCCGAGACCCGAATACACAGGCATGTTAGTAAAATGGCCTGCAACTTTGTGTGAAATGGACCTGCCCCGTCCCAAGTTCCTCTGTGGTTTGTTCTGATTTCTTTCAAGGACAGAAATACAACAGGCTTAGACCACAGCACTGTATTAATCATCACAAATACACTGTTCTTTTATTTGGTTGTGCATGCTCAGTGTATGAAGGGAAAAGAATTTTAACAGCACAGATACGTAGGAGGCGTAACATAATGTCCCTTTATTGTACTCACAGTTGAAGAGAGGATGTTTCCTGGCATTGTATTTCTTTTAAATGGGAGAGACTTTTTAAATACTGACTTGGTGTCATAGTGAACTCCTTTTGCAAGTGTGAGGAGCGATAAGATGCTATGATGAGCCAAGATCATAAAAAGGATTTATTAAGTTCATAAAAAGAGTTTACGTTAATCTAGGCCGAGCAGGGTGAGAGACTTGCATTAAGGACACGTACAATAAATTGTTCCGACAATAAAGGAGGACAATGATGGAATCAGAGCGTTCATCAAACATTTGTTATTATTCAAGATTCTTTGTTCTTGCTTTGGTCAAAAATAGCTGCTAGAAGGAGCAATGGCAGTCACATACTGTAATACCATTTAAAAAACTAATGTTATCGGCTCAGAAACTAATTAGCTACTAATGCAAAATGGAACAAGAATTTTTCACTGAAACCCTCGTTAGTTCTCTCTGGCAGGAACTTTTGTCTGCCACAACTATAAGATATTAAACAATCGCTATGGCTTCTTTTTTCTTCCCTCTTTTCTGGGAATAGTCTCCCGCTAGGATCACAATGCTTTTAACATGGCTGGGTGTCTGAAGGCTGCACCAGCCTACCTGCTGAGAGAATTCACTGCAGGGCCAGTCTGTCCCCTGCATTGGAAATTTATGACCTGGCCCCTTCCCCTATGACTCCCCCATTGGTAGAATCCAGTCAAAGCCCCCCAGGATGACTCAACTACTTCACCTTTGGCCACACTTACCCCTTCCCTTACTCTTCTGTCCTCATCATCCTCAATTTTTCCTCATTTGATCTGTTTACGCTCCACACGTGTCTGTTGTCTCCTTCCAGAGTTGGGTTGTAAGCTACATAAATGTGATGGTCATTCTAGTTGGTGATTCATTCTTAGAGGAACAGAAATGTCAATATTAACTGTGAAGGCATATTGCTCCTGTCTTAAAGATTGCCCTTGGGATGCCCTCAAGAGGAATAGTATTTCAGGTGAATACAACAGTTTTCTGGGCTTCTTAGAAAAAACATTACATCTCAGATACAAAGCAGCCCTTTACCTCCATGTTGAAGCCTCTAACTTGTAAACTACTCTGCATATTCCAAGTATACTTTTACTAAATGTTTTCCCATCTTCATTTTTAACAGCTGTTATCTCTTTATTGATTTATGGTAAGCCCGATTGGAACTTCCTGAAAAACATCTTCATGGATCTAATTAAATTTAAAAAACACGCTGAACTTTCAGAAAAATATTGTGGCCTCCAGAGGTGGACTGTGCTTAAGTACAATTTTGAGGTATTTGTACTTTACTCAGGTATTTTAATTTTCTGCTGCTTCATATTTCGACTTCACTACATTTTAGAGGCAAAAATGATACTTTTTACTTTGCTACATTTATTGAATAACTTTAGTTATTAGTTACAGCACATTTCAGAATCACATTAACTACATAACTGCAAGAGTTGATTGATCTCTAGTGGGAAATTCAAAAGCTACCCAGTAGTAAAGTGATTAACACAATAATATTCAATAATATTATATACATCATTGTCAAGTGTGCCATTCTACATTATGAGTACTTCAACTTTTGGTACACTTCTGCTGTACCAGAGTCAAATTCCTTATGTCCAACAAACACACCTGGCCACTAAAGCTGATTCTGATTTAAGTATATTAAGAAGAGAATACTTTTGTACTTTTACATAAGTAACATATTGAATCTAGGACTTTTAGCTGTAACTGAGTATTTTCACATTGTGGTATTGCTACCTTTGCTTAACATTGCAGCTGAGGTGTGATTGGTCTCTGGTGTATGGCTTTACTTTTCTGGAGTCTGCGGCATAGTACTGGTTTACTTGGGTCTACCCTTCTTTCTAATTCTAGGTCTCTAGTATTTTGACTAGATGTCAAAGTAATTGTTGATATATGTCTCTCTGTCTGACTGTCTGTGCATAGAAGGGGAGTCAGGGGCAAAAAACAGGGAGACAGGCAATTAAACAGGAAAACAGGCAGACAGTCAGACCGCTGAAGATTTATGACCTCAGCTATCATTTCACAAAATATTTCAATATTTATGTCCAGCCAATTCCTGTTCTGACCAGGGATTTTAACACAGCCATGGCTTAAAATATATTATTTTACTGATGTTTCTTTTACTTAAGTTTTGATATTTAAACACAAAGCGAGAGTATCAGATCTCTCCAGCTGTTTTGCACAAATAAAAACTCCAAAATCATGACTGTTCTATGTTTTGAACAATATGTAACAATCATGGATCACAGTTCTGGACGTTCATTCATCCATCCATCCCTCTGCCTGTAGCCAATACTATACAGTTCCATACTGTGCTCTGCTTCTTCGATGCCTTGGCAGCAAATTAAGTTAAAGTCTGCATGGAAAAAAGAAGCCCTTAAATGCTGCCATATGCAGGATTGCATGGGAACTTCCTGAGGAACACATGTTATTCTGGGTCTCTTGGAGAGGTGTTGAGTCTGTGTAGTCTATAGAGTGAGTCACAGTATGGTACACCACTCCACGATAATAACAGAAAACAGCAATTCATGATAGAGCATAATATTTAGTAAAAATGTCATATTTAAGACCTGTCGAATTTAAAAAGGTCAGCAGTGGTTAGATACAACGTGACATGTTACATGGGACAATCGGCTCCAGCCGAATGTTGACTGTCAGAAGGCCAACACATTTGAACCTGACATTTTTGTGGAATATATCTCTTTTTTTCACGCTGTCACATTCTTAATTTTCACAGTTTGAGAAACATAATCTGCCTCTATGATCACCAGGACATTTCAGGGTCGAATAAACAAGATTTTAGCAATATTTCCTTTCAGGGGAATCCGGAATCCAGAATCCAGCTCTGCTGTAATAAAGGGTCTGTTTAAATGAAACTCTCTATGCTAGATTTACCCTTGCATTTAAATAGAATGGAGCTGGCAAAGTTTTTAAACTGTTTCCCTGCCATCAGTCAGATCAGGTCTTTAACACTTCCTTTCAATGCCTGCCCTATTTGATGTTGTACCTTTAAACTGAATCCTGTTCTGAGCACAGTGATGATAAAAATGAATCCATTCTGTCATAAAAGTAATGCCAAATGTGTGTGTGTTTCTCTGTGTGTGTTGCTCTTAAAGGATTACTGGTTCTCTCTGGTCTTCAAGCGTCTTGTTGGGCCGAGGGTGTTGGCTGTGCGGGTGGCCGGACTGCAGAGGAAGCCGCAGCCAGGACGAGTCATACGAGACAAGCTACGTATTTACGCCCATTGTACCAGCTACTACAAGTACGTGCTACTGATTAACTACCTTGGACTAGGTTGTAACCTGTACTTACTGTAAACACAGCAAGAGTGTACAGTCTTATTGTATACTATGATTTTGGCTGGGTTTTTCTTCCATTTGAGATGACAGATGACAATGCACACATCCTCTTAGCCTTTCAGGTATGTGTAACTATACCTTGGGAATGTCCTTGAAGGTTTAGATGGAAAACAGACTGCTGCGGTTTTGGCTTTTTCTGCTCCCCGTGTCCTCCTGAAAACACCTGAGGCTTCGTGTCTGGTGGGGAAGAACAAAATCCCCGGCCAGCCCGTTCAACTTCCCATAAATAAGCAGACCACAGACACCCACTCATTCATAGCTCAGAGCCTATAAAACCTAACGGATATCACTTATCAGGTGTGTGGGTTCTGTCTCCCTGCCGTCAAAGAGCCGCTGAAAGAGGTGCTAGGCCTTTATTCCATCTTGGATTGGCTGGAGGGGGGTATTCTAGTGGGAGGGGGAGGGACAATAAGGCGGTCTGTGCTGGGAGGAGATAAAGAATGCACCCAATGCCTGTTCAAGGTTATCATTTAACCCAGGCCAGCGGCTGTCAGCACCAGGCTAGACTTACGGCCTTTCTCTAGACAGCACTCGTTTACAGGTGGAGCATCTCTTTAAAAAATACCGAAGCACAGCACAGATAGATGGTTGATAAATAGGCGGGGGCTGTATAAGCCACACACAGCCACAGGAGGCCTGATAACATGCACACAAATATTTGAAATAGTTTTCAACAAGTGTACTCACTCAGCCACCTGGCATGTATGATGAATACGGGAGTAAAAAGATGCCAGTGGCATGTGCTGCAGCTCATCTCCTCTCAACATACCGATCAGCCTTGGACTCATGTGACCAGACAGTGAAGCACTGAAGCAATTCCTCTTGAATGCAAAGCCACTTCAGTTGCAATTATTTCTGCCGCTTTGTGGTTTTACACAGTCTACCCTTAAGTGGACGAGCCATTGTAGTCTTAGTGGTTTGACTGTGCTGTGTTAGACAGCAAAGACTATAAATGTGCTCAGGCAGTCAGTGGTTTGAAAAGTCTTTGCAGATTAGATATTTGATTTTTCATTGCCCTTTTACCCCTTCTAGTGGTTTGCATGGGATTGCATTTTTCACTTTCCAGCAATGCTCCAACATCAAACAGCATCTACACATGTTTATGCTCCTGGTCTGGATCTTGAAGAGCCTCATCTTTTTGAAAGGCCTTAGAGGTCATTATCTCTCCCTTCATCTAACCATCTGATATATGATTTGGATCTATGGTCCACATTTCTCAGACACCAGTGTAACACAGAGTCAGTCACCCAGCGTTCCCCCGTTTAGCCCCGACCCTGATCCTGAACAACAACGTGCCATCAGGCCGACATGTGGTATTCACTACAGCTTTGTTGTCTTTGTCCTCATACCTTGGCCCTTATTAAATTTTATCATGTTTGTTTTATCTGACTCGCTTAATTATTTATCTTTGGCCAGTATCTCTCTCAAGTGCTTTGCTCTCCAGAGAGGGACTCGAACACTGTTGTCTGTGTAACTCAAGAAGCGTTGCCCATTGAATTCACACCCTTCATCTAATCTACAAGAGAATCAGGTGTTCGCATCACAGAGCCTTTATACAGATGACCAAGGCTTCAAAAATTAAATGTGGTCTAAGAAGGTTCATACTAACTATGATGATATATTTTAGGCTGTGGTAAAAAACAACTTGCTGCTTAATGGAATTCCTTTCTAAAGCACAGTTTATCTTTATTATTTATTATTATTTATCTTTACTATTTATTATTATTTATTTCTACAGGCCTTTTGATCCAGATTAGATCAGTGAGTAGTGGTTTGATCCTATTGCTATAATTATAAAACTATCAAAGACTTTCTTCTCTTTGTAGTCATCTTTAATTATAGAGAATTTCATTCAACATGACAATGCAATATATAATAAATCCCTATTAACAGATGTGGAAAGGAGCTTTTTTTTTTCTTGTCTTGCCCTGACTGTCCTTTCCGTGGGAAAGTGAGTGTAACGTTGTTCGTCGTTTTCTTTATGATGCCAGTCACAACTACATGAGAGGGTCCATAACAATCTACATCATCAATCTGCATCGCTCGCGAAAGAAAATCAAGTTGGCAGGGACGTTACGGAACAAGACTGTCCATCAGTACCTGTTGCAACCCTACGGCGCTGACGGACTCAGAGCCAGGTGAATATCTTTATCTCTGTGTTTCACACGCATGAATACATATGTAACGTATACAGCTTACACATGCAGGCAATGAATAAATACGTTCTATCCAAACAAATGCGCTGTAAGAGACCAGTACAAGCCATGCCGGTTAAGATTTTTACTCTAATGACAATATCTTGGCTAAAGCAGTTTTCAAAATGTAATTATTCTTGCAAAGATCTGAAAGGCAATAAAATGTAAGAAATAAGGATGATGAGAATTTCATGAACAGCTTTATGGGTTTTAAATTATTTTATTTTTTCCAACCAAATTAGGATTTGAAATATTGCAGTGAATCAATTTAAAGAAAACAACGGGTGCTAGAATTCAGCTGTGTCAAACTTGTTAAGTCTATATGATGTGCGAACACATGATAATACATGTAATAACCTCTTCATGTCTCTATCTATATTATAGGTAGCTTAAGGTATTAAATACAAAGATATAGTACTCTTTACATAAAAAGGTAATCCCATTTCCTTAAAACCCTCAAAATATAAAATTATGCATTCAGTCTGTTCCTCTCTGCTTCAAGCTCCTGGACTGTTATTCTGACTCAGACTTAAGCCTAAAATCCTGGAATAACAGCATAATGACTTGGGACTGTGTGTGTGTGTCATACAATACCTACATACATCTTTAATGGAGACTGGGGCATGATCTTTCAATAAGAGTGTAATGATGGCAGATGTTGGCAGATGTTTTAGGTGTTAGAACACGACTGCAAGGCAATTAACAGGAAAGCAAGCTAACAAATGTTTCATGCCTTAAGTGCTTTCCTTCACCACAGGGAGACTTTTATGAAGAATTTTGCAGCACCAGATGTCTACAAATTTGTCTTAGTAGTGGGACTTTTATGCTGGTATTCAGGTCCAGTGATTCAGTTTGAGTCATAAGTTCTCTTTACTTTTATGTAATAGTTTAATAAATTTGAGGTTCACATAGAAACTATCCAGACCACTAGACTGTGAACTTCACAAGGTTATTTATTTATTTATTGATTTATTTTCTTCTAAAAACAGCCGTATTTTAAAGTTGTAAGCTTGGTGAGGTGTAGCTGACACCACAATACAAATACATTATAAAGACATTTATGTTTAGAATCTGATTTATTATGCTATGTCACAATTAGTTTGTTGTATGAATAAATAGAAATAATACTTTTAAAAAAATGAAAAAAAGATTGCAAAAGTCAAGCTGACTGATAAACAGGATGTTGTATAATATATTCTTGCTGGATTCTTGAAATTGTCTTAATTATTGCACAATTCTCGTGTGATAATCATCCTTATATGAAGCCCCTGAAATTGTGCACAGTGCAGTGTAACAGTGTTGGGTTACACTGTGACTAACAAAATTAAAAAAAAAATATTATACATACATAAAACAAATTCAAATATTTGAATAATAGTAATAGTTTTGAGAACTCTATTACTCTTACTCAAAAAGCAGTAAAATGCTGAGCTTGAATATTCTCTTTGCTTTAAAATGAAATGATTTTGGTGCAGTTGACTCATATAGGTTTCATTCAATGCAGATTAAACTCAAAATGCCTGGTTGTACTACTGCACAGTGAAACTACAATTTTGTAACAGCAGCACCCCCAAGTGTACAACTGATGGAATCATCACCGTTAGACTGAAGGTGCACGAGATGATTCAGATCTGCTGTCTTTTGTTCATGGGGTTCATGGGCCTTCATTAACTGTCTCATCTTTCTTTCACGTACACTTTTACAACTACCAGTTTTATGTGTCAGAACGCAGCTGAAGGCAACTCACTGAGCTAATGCAGCCTGTTCTTTGTAGATACGTCCAGCTGAATGGGGAGAAACTGCTTATGGTGGACAATGAGACATTCCCAGAGCTGAAGCCTAAGACCCTGAGGGCTGGACGGACAATAGCCATGCCTCCCATGACCATCGGCTTTTATGTCATCAAAAACATCAACGCATACGCCTGCCGAAGATAACATTAATCTTTCATCTGTGATATACAGTATAAGTGTGATGCACAGAAGTCTGTCAAACCACCAACCCTCCACCGGTTTGACTGTGTGATTTTCTTTTTTTTTTTACAAAACAGAGGGAGGTCAGAATACCACTTTTTTAGGATTTTTAATGTCTTGCTTAACGACACTTCAGAAGAGTGGACACTTGGCTTGACTACAGGACAATCCTTTGGTTTAACAATAACCTCTTCAACCATCATTTCAAAAGGTAACATTTGAGCCGCTCTACCACAATACAAGAAAACCGCACCCTTCTCTTTTTCTCCTCTCTGGTCCAACAAAGAAAGACTTGCCCAAGACATAAAAAGGGCTGCACTGAACACTTTTCAATTCTTTTCACCGACCAACAGTTCCTCATATGTTATAAAGACTTGTATGGACAGTGATTATTTTGTACCTTGGTATGAAAATTGTGAGTTGTAGTTATAGAGATGTGATATCAAAAGGTCTTTGACTTGGTGAAGCTATATTTCCTTCTCTTAGATTGTCAAATCTAGGGTATGCTATCTCTGTGTCAGCCAAGAGAGCAGTCTACGCTAATCTAAAACAGTATGAGAGAAAACTCTGAACAAGTAGCATTTCTGAAGCAAGTCAACTTCACTTTGACTTGATCCTTTCCACAAAGAGAAAATGATGTGGTGTGTATAAGATCATGCCTGGACTAACCAAGTTATGTGCAAGTGTTTGTGTGTGTGTGTGTGTGTGTGTGTGTGTGTATGTGGGTTCTATCGATAAAGCTACTGATGTGTCTGTCCAGCCTGTTTGATGTGCCGCTGAAAATATACATTTCTTTGTTTGCCATATCGAGTGGCTTAAAGGGAAATCTGTTTCTTTTAAAGGTTGTTTTTGTATGTTTTGTGTATCGTTGCTTTTCTGCTGCAGCTTTTAATTTAACTGCAGAGTATGATAGCCAGGATGTGTCACTGGTACTGTTTTGCAGGAATTCATAGATGAAGAACAATGTGAACCCATCCATAACTTCAGTCCTCACGTCGCCTGCATTCAAAACAATTAAAATAAAATTTAAGAAAAAACCATAGGTTTTCCTTTAGATGAAAAAAATTCTAAAATCCCAGTTTTTCAGGTGTATTTTAACATATCTCACTATCTCTTCAGTGTGTTCTCATGTTTTATAATCCTCTTATGCTGCTAGTTTAAAAAAACAACATATTTTACATAAACTTGTACAAATTTACAGTCATATGTTTTTAGATAATGCACATAAAGAGTGAGGAAAGTGATTTAAGCTTGATGTGTTTACCTAAATACAGTATATATCTAATTTATATGATTAAATATGTTGCTTTGGCTTTGTATTTTGATTAATAAAAACTCAGTTATGGTAGTGGTACTAATGCCCCAACACTAAAGTAAAATTAAAAATATATTCTTCAAATTACGGGCTAACCGGGTGACTATGTTAAGATACAGGTCATAGGGGCAGAAACAATTTATAGTTAGTTTATAGTTATAACCAAAGTTTCACATCTACATTTATTTTCATTTGTTTATCTAATATTGTGACTATATATTTCTTGAAACATGGGCTTCTTATTCTCTAGATGAAAACCACAGAGGGGGTAAAAACATTGCCCAGAAAGCTTTGTTTCATGTTGCAATGATAAAGTTCTAGACCTACATGGCAGAAGATAAGCAGTAGTGGGTTCAGTGCCTGGACATGTTAAATATAAAGAATATTTGTCCTCTGAATGTGTTTAAAGTTTATCTAGAGGTGTTCATATTTTTGGAGAGTATTATTTTAATATGTAAAGTGTGCCTATACATTATTTTTTGTTAAAAAAAAAGTTTACATTGATAATAAACACCTATAAATACCAAAGAAGTTCTATTTCTTATTCTTCAGTAAAAATGACAATGACACAAAAGTACACAAAAGTCATAAATGCATCCTACATCAAATGTGCTTGTTAATTCGCTATACTGCATGCAAGAGACAATGTGGAGATGTGTGCTACTTCTGGTAAATGGATAAGTGAAACTGAGCATTGCAACTGCTCTTTAGCAGTTCCCGGGCTATGACGGGGATCTGCAGAAGCGCACAGTTGCAAGGAGAAGAAAAAGAAACAGTAAGATGAGACTATTTATACCTGCGCAGGACCATGATGAAAAGCAGAAATATCCAAGAACCTATAAATAAAAACTGTCAAATACTAGCAGCACTTTTAAAGAAAGGTACCGGGGTTTAAAAGTTATCGATGTTGGCGCACTTACTCACTCACTTACTCACTTTTACGCACACATACAAAAACTGTTACCCTCTGTGGCCCCAGATGTGAAAGCAGCTGGAGCGAGTCTTTGTAGTGGGAAGAGTGCTGTCTTGTCGCTGCATGAGACAGCTGCTGATGGGAAACATGAAGCCCGATTGGGCTAAACCTGCAGACCTCAGCTTGGACCCAGACAGACAAAAGCTTTGGCCAGACCTGGCTCAGTGTCTACTGATGCACAGACAACTGGGTTTAACTTGGTAGGATTGTGTCGAAAGGAGATGGAGAGCTATGATTAAAGCTTGTGCGCCCTTTGACTAAAATGCTGTCATTCAGGTGTCTTCAGTTTCTCCCAGAGAAGCATGGTTTGGTAAAGCTGCACTGATTTCTGTGCTGATGTTTCATGACAGTGAGTCGTTAACACTGGCCGCCTTTCAAGAGCAGTGATCTAAAGCATGTACCTGTAATTATATTTTTGTTTTAAGTTCCATTCATGGGAAATGGGCTTTTGCTTTTATGTAAGTAGCAGAAATGTTTGTTCTCAGAAATGAACTAAAGGAACAACCTCATTTCACATGTGGTTCATTTTAAACAGTCTAACATTGTTGATGTGTATGAATCAAGCCAGACTTGTTAACACCTCGTCTCAGTTCTTGTGAAGAATCGTGCTTTCTCAAGAAAAGGGCTTGGAATCGGTGAATTTAAAATGTTCTTAGATCTGCTATACGTAAGATACAGACAATATAAAATGTACTTTCAAATCAGAAATGTTTTTGTTTGGTAAATTGAGTACATGACCAACAGTAAGTGACCAAAGTGATACTGAGCAATGAGGTCTTAGTGAACTTCCTGACATTTAAAGCAGGAACTTATCATGCCAATCAATGGAAATTGGTTTGTTTGGCAAACTTTGGTTCACATAAACTGCTGAGCATCACTTCCTCTGACAGAATCTAATTGCGTTGTGATTTAGGAGGGCTGTGCTGTGTTGGGCCACTTCTGCGTGACAGTGCCTCCTTAGCGGAGGTAACTGTTAGCCAGGCCTGCCTAACACTGTTTATACTCAGTGATCCATTTTGAGACATGCAAGGCCCCCGTGCCCTGTTAGCAAACACTGAGGATTTCATGATGTTTACTCTGTATATACAGGAGTCATCTTAAATAAGACTTTCTTGAATGCTTGAGCCCCAGAAAACTGATGGACTAGATTAGACTTTGGCCCACAGTACAGAACTCTTGGCATTTTGGACCATTTTGACCCAAGCAAGGTTAATAAAACATAAATATTTATGTTACTATGGGGTTCTTTGCTCTGCTCAGAAGCCATGCGTACAGCCTCTGCTGAATCCTATGATACAACGCAGATTTATTGGAGCCATCAAAACATTCTCTGAGAAACAGCTCGATGTTTGGTGTGTATTTGTGTTTGCAGCATGTATCATGTATGTCTCCTATACTAGTTGTTCCACTGATGAAAAATCTGCAGTACTTCAATAGGAACAAATATGGGAAGCAATACTGAGCTCATAGTGTATTGTGAATTTCTTATGTGATAATATAGTTTTACCCAGAGTAGTTTTGGAGGCTTTACTTTTTGTGTTTACTTATCATATACCTTTGAACTTTATAATCCTGGCTAAGTATTTCAGGTCCATGTATGCTGTGCTTTAAGAAATTTGATAATGTCTCCTTATTAAGCATACTTTTATTTTATGCTTTATTAAATTGCACCTTTATGTGAAAATATCAGGCTTCATATCTCTGTAATGCATTTTAATCAGTGGAGGTGTTTGGGGTTTTTTCCGTATTTTGTGTGTGATTTTCCAATAAATATTAGATCTATTTTCATATTTGCAAAGTAAGAAATAAAGAGCACAAACTAATCTGTCACAACCGTGAAGCCGAATTCCACAAATACCTATTGTCTCCAAAAGTCACGTGACCGCTCTAGGCACCAGCACATGACTTGTCTTCCCTGACTCACTGGTCTTCAGGTGCCTCCAGGGGAAATCAACTGAAAAGAGCGGCCATTTATTACACGTACTTATCGGGGGACCGTGGTAGCATCGACAGCTCTAGCCGTCTTCAGGTCAGACAGGTGCTGCTGAAGTCATGTGACTCGGAGGTGGCGTTGTGCAGACGGTTAGGAAGGAAGCAGTTGACACAGCGGCCCCAATGAAAGTCTCCACCACGGGCGGCACCAACTGTTGAAGGGAGATTATGTTTTGAGCCGCACCGAGACTTTGGACCGAGATACTGGAGGAATCTGGGAGCACAGAGTGAGTTGTTAACTGTGCGTGTGTTTCGGACATAGTCGGTGTGTGTGTGCATCTTGGAAGTTAGAAGTTTAGTAACAACAAAGGACTCGAGGCTTTTGGTAAAACGCGGGATGTAATTTACGGATCGGATTACTTTAAAATTACAAACAATGTTTTAAACACAAATGTCAAATAATCAGTACAGGGTTCATTCCATGGTTGTGCTCGGTCAGCACATTGCACGACATTTGTAAAGGGTCTGTGCGTGCACGTCTGTGATGATAGGTATATTAAGGAAGTCGTAAAAGTCGTAATCACATTTGTCTTTGTAGAACAGTGAAAGAAAGATGTCGCATTTATGTTCCCTAACGATGAACACCTTTGTAAATAGACCTGTATGTGATGTAAACAATGTTCAGATATATTTACTGGACTATTTTCATTTTCTGCTACTTAGAATTCAATAGGCCTATATTTCAGAATATTGGACTTTTTACTCCACATATTTCATAACCTTAGTTACTTTTCAGAATCAGATTAATAACAAAATACAGTATAATCGTAAGACTTTATGGATCCCTGATTGCTAATTCACAAGCTACAGAGCATTAAAGTACAAAACAAGGTGGCTAACATTATATAAAATGTGTTGTGGACAATAATGCATCAATAATTACAATCCAATAATATAGTATAGACCTACATAAGTGTGAAATATCATTCTGCATAACCAGTACTTTTACTTTTTAATAATTCTTTGTACCTAAGTCATATTTTGAACAGAGTAACAGGGCATTATGTTGTGGTATTACTACTTTCCATTAAGTAAAGAATCTTGAGTACTTCTTCCACCAATGCATATTGTCAAAAAGAAATATACGGTACCCTGGACTAAATCTACAGTTTAGTCATAGCAAGATTAAAACTAAATAAAGGATTGAAGATGTAATGGAATAGAGAGTTTTGCAAACGGAGTACAGTGGAGACTTATACGCACTTTGCCAGTCCCTCACAGCTGGTATTTCTGTCTTGCCCTTCCTTTTTAAATCGGCGCTCTCACCAGAGGTTGTCATTGATCAAATATCTGCCAGCACAAAGATGATTTTCTAAAAGTTGAAGAGGTTGGACACATTAAATGTTTCATTTGTCTTATCTTTATTTATGTATGGTTCTAAAATGAGGTCGGGTTGAAAGACTGTTGCCCACTGAAGAAGGCATAGCCGACGCTTGTGTTCTTTTTCCTCCCTCTGTGTTGATACGTGCATGTTAAAAGATTAAAGAAAACATTTTGTAGGTTTTGCATGTGGACCCCTTGTTTTCTTTACATTCTGCAATTTGAGTTTCAAAATGATTGTTTCAAGATAACACTCTTAGTCTAAGACAAGTAGCAGGACACATATGTGGTTACTGTGTAGATGTGCGTCTAAAAGAACAGACAAATTTAACACGTCAGTAAGTCTTCAAGTTGTGGCTGTTTTTCAGATCTCTACAACTTTTTAAATCATTTACCATTTGTACCATAAAACTGTTGGAATATGAGCCAAGTAAGACATCTGGAATTGTTTAAAAAATGAGTGCTATTTCTTACTTTAATAATTAATCTATTTATATCGGATCGAGATGAGGTTTGTATATGTCCTCACACTCAAGAGTTTAAAACCCTCTTCTTTTTGGACATGCCCCAGCTGTAAATAGCATCATGACCAGACTGCTATGCTTTAACAAAACCCCTCTCCAGGCTCTGGTTTATGTTTTCTGCTTCAATACTTTTAACCTTTTCCTTTATAGCATAATGCGTGTGGAGTGGTTGGCGTAAATAGGACACAAGAGTAAAGCAGGACAGGAGTGCATCTGTGGTCCAGATGAAGTGCTTGCTGATAGCCAGTGAGAGTGCCGAGGTCCTCTTCCACTGGACGGACCCGGCATTTCTGCAGAATATCCAAGAAAAGTATGAGGTGACTCAAGAGGAGGGCCAGAGGGTAAGGTGGAAGGACAGCACATCTAACAGATACTGCACATGTGCTTTGTAACTCACTTCCCGTAGCTGATTTCTTTTTTTGTTTTCAGCTTCCAGCCTTTGAGGACAGCATCAGCACTCTGTTCGCTCCTATGATTATCTCCTGCACCACCCTGGTGGACAGGCTGGGAGACAGCTACACCTCCTTCACCACAGAAAACAACCACATCTATGTCCTACACCAGGTAACACCTGCCTTCCAAAATAAAAGCTGTCTCACACATGTGCAGAGCTCCAGATGATCTCTTCTCATCATGTAACAATATATTTTCCTGGGTAATTTTTAACCCTGTTTTGAAATGCCCTAAGGAATAGAGAAGATTCCTGCTTTCTTGAACTTCTTCTCGCTCCATTAATAGCACTGGGTGACGTAAATGCTGGCCTCTCTTACAATGAAGTATCATGCTTGTCATGTGAGGCCTGTTGAGAAATCAAACTGAGCGTTGTCCTCTTGCAGCACATGATACAATTATCAAGGTCAAATATTTGGCATCTTTCATATCCATTCAGTGTTGACAGCCTTTTAGGTCTTACTCATGTAAATATTTGCTCCTGAGAGAACACAAGTAACAGGATCAATGTGATACATCTGTCTGTGCTGTACCTGCATTTTGTGTCCTCAGTTTGAAGAGTGTCTCTACATTGCTGTGAATGGAGATGGTGAGGAGGGAGAGGATGATCTAAGGAGGAAGATCTATGTGATGAAGAAGATGATTGAGGTTCTCTTTGGCATGGTCACCCTCAGCAGTAACCTCCTCCGAAAAGAGTAAGACGTTTTGTGTGTCCTGCTTATTTATACAGGACAGTTTGGACACAGCTTCTGGTCTGTAAATGACCTGTTGTGTTTCTTACCAGGCTCCGTCCTCAGGACACGCAGCAACGTGCAAGGCTGTGGAAACATCTTCAAAGCCTGCTGGAGACGTACAGCCAGCTTCGAGAGAACGACCAGAGCTTCTTAGTAGAGGTGCAGTGCAGTGCTTATAGCAGGGCTCACAGAAAATGTAACCTTTTATTAAAATGATACATTTAACTACATTCTTACTCATCTGCTTAAAATGTTCTTGTCTTCTTTGTTGTTGTTGTGAAATATATAAATGGAAGTTAAGTGTTGTTCAGGTCTATCATTGTCTGCTCAGCTATACAGTGAACCTGTTACAACTTGGCATTTAAATTGTTAGCATAACCATGTAGACATATTCCTTTTTTGGAATTATTCAAAGTCTAATAAAAAAAACCCTGCTTTCCTCCCAGTATGAGGATAAATGTAGGTTGGATTTCCCTTTAAAGCTATAATTTCAGAATTTTTGTGCCTGTTATTTTAGGTTAGCTAAATGAACCATTACCCATAAAAGCATTCCAGATATCCTTCAGTCATTTTTTTCATTATAGATACTGATCGGTTCATCATCTAAAAGCATTTGAAAAGCCAGAGTGTACATAATTAAGGGCACATATACTTTGTCTTGTCTCAAATCATTACCCCAACCTCAACCCCCTGGTCTCCTGTTGTTTCCTCCTGCTCTCAGGCAGTGGAGAGGCTGATCCACCCCGCACTGTGTGAGCAGTGCATCGAGTTCTTGGAGCGCCGGTTAGTTCAGCATCTTAACAGCAGTGCGGAGAGAGCAGGAGAGGAGGTGCTGCATGCCTTCGTCCTGGTCCACACCAAACTCCTCGTCTTCTACTCCACGTACACCAAAGCCTTCACATTTATTCCATTACTCGCACTGTTTATTACTTCTGATTATGGTTTCTTTTAATATGTAGAAGGATTTTTTTGAGAAGAATGCTGTCTCTTTGCTTTCACGCTAATTCTAGCCGCAGCGCGAGCAAGCTCACCACCTCAGACCTGCTGACCCTCATTATCCTGGCACAGAATATGTATCCTAGCAACATAGACACGGATGATCCAGTTCCTGAGGTAGAAAATGCTGAAGGCTGCTCAAACAGCACCACCTTAAAATGTTAGCTTTTGTTCACTATTGGTTTCTGTGTGTGTTGTGTGTTTGTCTGTGAAGGACATTGAGAATACATCCAGTTCTGGTCCTGAAAGTTTCTACACCCCAGAGCCCTCCCCTACAAACAGAGACTCAAGCAGTTCAGGTGGGCTATGTTGCAGAGTATGTGTATTTGTATTTATTGATTTATTTTTATCTCTGCATGTCCTTCTTATTGAGGGTACATTAGATAGTGTTTATTGTCCTAGAGGGAGATTTGTTTATACAGCCAGTACATTTTCCACACAGAAGCATACACAACATTTAAAACCTACATGTACATTCATGTATTGTATTTGTCATCCTTACAGTCTTATATTTTCTAAAGAACAGTATGATGTGTGTTTTTGATCCAGCTGACAAGCCACTGAGGGGTAGTACTCCTGTGTTTGAGTTTATGGACCCAGACATCCAGGTGAATGTATATTCCTAATAGTTCATCCCACTTTATAATAGCCTATTCTATACAAAATAAATTGGAACAAGACCTCACTAATGGATAAATTCTGATGTTTTCAGATGGCAGAGGACAGCTTGCAGACCCTGGAAGTTCCTCCTCCCGGCCCTTTAACCCCTCGCAGAGTGTTCTTAGAGGTCTCGAGCAAAGATGGGCTGTATCCAATGATGCCTCACTCCATGTACTGTTTGCCACTGTGGCCTGGCATCACACTAGTGTTGCTAACTAAGGTTGTACACGCATCTGTATATGTACTTCCTCATTTTGCTGCAAACATGCAATTTCTTTTCTGTCTTCACATTTTCTGGTTTTGGGACATTTATCAGGACATCAGTTTTATGCAGCACTGTTCACAGTATCTGCTGTAAAAGGCTAATCAAACTTATGGATGAGGAAAGCGCACATGTTCCTATTCATACTTTGATTCAAGGGTCTGCCTTCTGTCTGTGTATGCTGATGTTTTCCAAGCATTAGGGTCATGAACAGTCGGGGCTTTTTGTTGAGCAAACAGTCTGCACAGACATAGATTGTTGGCCTCATCTAGACCATAGCAGACATGCTGAAGTGCAAAGTATGAATAGCCCTTAAGTTTTTGTTGAACCACTTAATCATCTATATTTATCTCTGTCAGATTCCCACTACTGCAGTAGCCATGTCAGTGTATAAGTTTTTGGAGGCATTCAGCACCCTGGAGAAACGTTTACGTGAAGGCCAGGAAGGTTCTGCTGCTACTAGAGGACCACCGAATATACAAGATGTCCGCAGTAAACTGGATAAATTCATTAAAGTCTTGGGGCCCAGTGAGGTACAGGTATGGATTTAAATGCATTGCACCATACACAACATATCCAACAGCTGTTGTTTGCTTTCAAATGAAGCTAATACATCTCATCAATGCATGTCTGCCTATGTCAATTCACACCCTGGAATAATTAACCTTAGAATTATTTGTAAAACTCAACAATGTAAATAATTTGTTTTAACACATTGTATTTCTTTCTGTTATAGCCTGTAGTAACGCTGAACTGTCAGCTCATGCAATTCTCCTTTGTTATTCCAGTATCATTTGCAAATCATATGAAAGTGTGTCGTTGAATACATACCAATTCAGTGTCTGTATGTGCTGTGAGAACTAATCTTAGTGTTGTTCGAGCTGTGCCCCTTTTGTCTTAACACACACTAAGTAGAAATACTAAATAGCCTTTTGATTGTATGGTTAGTTTTGATACCACCAGCTAAACTCCAGTAAAAGAGAGGCACCTAATAGAAAAATGTACCTTACACAAAGCAGTCAGATTTATCATAGGAAAATGTTTTCAGTTTTTAGGCTGGGAAAAACAAATCATGTTTTGTTCCTTCGTTTTCTATCCAGTCTGCACAATTACAAAATGTCTGGACTGAGTTCAAGAACAGAGCTTTTGCCAGAGGAGGATCTGGATTCAACAAAAAGTAAGTCTGCTACAGCCCCCTGCTGGCTAAAGTGCGTCATAGCACAGCAGTTAGATAATCCTTTGAACAAACACATTGATGTTTTTGTTTTAGTCTTATCCCATGGTGTAAAAATATGAAGACCCAGCTGTGTGGCATATACCGACAGTGCTTTCTTATTGACTCCGGACCAGCCGACATTCCTCGATGTCTCTCTCCCGGTCTGCAGGAACGAGCCCAGACTATGGCTCAGTGAGTATCAGTCAGCTGGACATGTTTTTGCTGTATTATTGTTGGCAACTTATGTGTTACATTTTCAAATGTGAACCAGTTTAGAATTTTCTGAATCGGTTTTTAGTTCAGCTATACCCACAAGAAGGCAAGTCCACAGTGGCATCCTTAATAGTTCACGTCTGTACTTTCTCTCTCTCTCCCTCCTGTGAACCTCTCTGTCTCTGCCAGAGAGAAACTAATGGACTGGAAGGACTTCCTGTTGGTGAAAAGCAAGAGAAATATCACCATGGTGTCATATCCTGTCAGCAAAATAATTCTCCCTGTGATGCCACATTTTACCAAATCAGTGAGCACTGCTTTGCACAAAGCTAAATTTGTAATATGTCTAGACAATAGGGGCTTACTGCTCCTGCACCTAGAAAGGATTTTGTTATGTAGCACACTGTTCTCCTGAGTGTATTGATCTTGACCTAGTTAATCTCACTTACCTGGAGGATTTCCCGGGCCTCATCCATTTTATCCGTGTGGACCGATCCACTGGCCAAATGATTGCGCCCTCACTCTGCACCACAGAGCGCGGACCAGCATCGGAACTAGGGAAGGGACCGGTGGCTCAGTTCATCAAAAGCAAGGTCAAGCATATTAAATGTGCATGTCTTGGAACTAATGAATGTGACATTAATTGGAAACTGTTGATCTTATCAAGTCATTTATGTCTGATTTTAGTCTGTTGTCACTGCAGATAAGCAGGGTAGTATTTAATTATTAAGTTAAATGAATAATTAAATACTACTAATAGATTGGCATATAACATATTCCTGAAACTGTTCCTTTAATCACAAGAAAATATATTAACAACAAATGTAGTCTTATATTTTGTCATATTCCATAATCTTTCTGTGATATATTTTAAGAATTCAACACAAAAAAATTGGCACTATGTTGTAACCAGCCAGTCCCATTAGTAGTATTTAATTATTAATTACCACTCTTAACATCTGTATGACAAATATGAGGTAACTGTCATTTTTACATTTTGTTTTTTGTACAGATTAAACTAACAAAATGTTTCTTACTGAGCTTTATAGGTGCTGGTCCTGGAGGTGGGTTTTGTTACCTTTGACAGAGCAGACTTGTCATATTTACAAACCAAATAAGCATACTGTATATTTCCAAAATGTTTTAATTGTTTCTTTAAAATACTCACTGCATCAGTTGTTTTGTTTATCTTTGTCTTAAATGAATTTCTCTTTTCTAATGCATACTGAAGGTGTGGAGCCTGGTCAGCACAACACGGCACTTTCTCCGGAAGGGTTATTCCACGGTCACATTGCGTGATGGAGACTTTTACTTCTGCTATTTCCTCTGGTTTGAAAGTGAAACAGTAAGTTATGGCATCCTATGTTTTAAAACTCAGAACAAAAAACAGACATCAATTCAGTACACCGGGAAAGCATTATATACTGTGTGTATCTAATCAACCAGGGCTACAAGTTGGAGGCAGGAGACATACCTGTCCTACCTGATGACTCCGCCCCTATTGGAATGCTGGCCTGGGACTACTATTGGTAAACAACTATGCATGACATAAACAGATGTGATTAATCCAAAAGTGAGTGCTGTTGACTATAGAAAGTAATATGTCCGGCAGGAAGCTGCTGCGGTACTACAGTAAGAATCAGCAGGGGGAGATGGTGAAGTGCTACGAGCTGCTGACAGTTCACTTAGGGGTCATCCCCACCGACATCATCCTTCAGCACTGCAGACAGCTGGCAAGCAAACTGTGGGAGCCTTCACGTAATCCACTGCTGTAGACACACACGTGGATAGCGTCACAGTAGCCAAGGTACACATTTACAGTATTGCCAAGAACAAAACCACATTTTCTCACTCACTCTAGATACATACAACAGCAGGTGTCTGTTTCATGTTTCCTTAATTTTCACTGTGTACACCATTAAAGCACCCTGTTATAAGCTGAGCTAAGATGATTAATTGGAAGCACTTAAGTTCATGACTAGCACAACTGTGCACTTATGCACTATTATGCAATGTGTATCAATTATATTGACAATATTACCCCTTAATTGTTGTATATACTTTGAATGCTCAAATATGACCATGACCTGTTTCCTATTTATTAATAATACTATTGTATATGTGGTTGTTATGTCCCACTTTTTAAAATTTGCAGCTAATTTTTATAAATGCTGATACTGTCTATTTTTGCCTTTACTATTGCTAGTGCCATAAATATATTTGAATGAAATGTGTGATAGTTATTACTGTAAATCTTTTCTGAGTTTAAATTTTAGACAATAAATATAAGTAGTTTCACATTCACTTGTTCATTGAGTCATTGTAAACATAATTGAAATGGCGCTATTCAAACATCGAACACTGCATTTATTTCACAAATCCCAGCTCACTGAGCATGTTGGTGTGTGAGGGCACAATTATTCACTCATATGACAATTGCTAAATGTGTAACAGGTGGTGATTTAATAACTTCATTTAATTTAAGTTGGATATTCTTAGGTTAGCCTCTATAGTCATGAACCTGTCTAACCTTTAGAGTTTAATTTTCTCACTCATCAGTCAACCCGGGTGTTTCTGAACATTTAAAGGTCAGTCTGTGCTGTCTAGGTAGGATTCTTCTAGCAGGGCACAGTTGTGGTGCACTCCATACAGGTCCACACTGTGAGGGAGGAGTGCACGTTGAGTTCAGTATATTATCAGCCTCTACACCGCTGACTCACAAAGCTCCTGTGAGGTCAGTGACAGCTTCTGCAGCCACCAGGTCCCTCAGGAAGAGTTTCTCAGCACTGACATCATGTAACACCTGGTTGATGAGAATAAAATGGGCCTTAAATGAATCACTGGAGGCAGAACATCAGGAGTCTCAAACATGTGTCCCACTCTTTGGTAATCAACCTAAACTTACTTGAGCCTTCATTGCATCCATGCGTAGGGTCTCATAGTAGTGAAGTCTGGCCTTTGGGTGCTGCATATCGTACCCAAACCCTGCCAGGCTCACCTGGTCACATAGCTGTAAAGCCATTACCACAGCACTGACACCTAGTGTTGGTACCATCTATTTAAAGAGAGAAAATGGTCTTTGTAAAAACCAACATTTTGGTCCAAATTTTCAACATCATAGCCTTGAACTGAAGGCTGTGTTTGCTCATCTTTCACTCCCTTAAACAAAGTCACAACATGCCAGCCATATCCACATATTATTCAGGATAGGATTTTCTTTTTTTTTGTTTGCATGCGGTATTGTATGAAAGCATGCAACATAGCCTGAGCAGAATGTGAGGGAGTATCACTACATGTCAAAATGGAATTAAATATAGACTGTGCATGTTAGGTTAGAACTCACATTGCCCTGTTTTTGAGCATATTTCTGTAAGACTTTTCCTGTCTTCTGAATAATCTGTGGGTGGAGGATCCTGAAGTTGTCTGGTCTCAGGGGAATATCGTCCACTACTTCCCGCCAGAACCACATTTTGGACCAGAAGCTCTGTTAAAAACAGCACGGGAGATTTAAAGCAAGCAAGGCAGCTAGTGTGATGATGATGTAATTCACTGTTTCTCTGTGTAATGATTCCTGTGATATAAGATTTACCAGTGGCTGTTTGGTGATGACAGAAGTAAGCCAGTCCAGGTCCAGACTCTTAAAGACCACCAGGGCTACCATGGCGGTCTTTTTGTACTCGTTTGCAGAGCGAGGTGCTCCCTCTGGGTAAATCAGGCGGATGGTGGTGCGGGAACCAACATCTCTTTCAAAGCCAGGCACTGGAGCATTATTGAGCCTGGTAAGAGAGATGAATATACTGTATGTCTGTGAAAATGATTGTGCTTTGTCTCTTCTCTTAAACTCATTCAAATTTTTGGCCATAGAGGACGTTTATATCCTTCCACTTGACTGACACTGGTGCACATACCTGATAATGATGTCATATTGATCTATATGAGATCCCAGATGGCTCCCATGAAGAACTCCCCCATTGCCCACCACCACACATCGTCTGCAGCTGCCGTCTCTCCTTAGTGATGGAGGCAGGCCAGGCTGAGGCAGAGAGGCAAGAGCCAGGGCTAGATGTTCTTCACTGCCCTGGAGTCCTAGAGGAGGGGGCAGATCCCAGGGCACAGGCCTGTCATGCTGTACAAACACAGGGATGTCCAGGAGCCCTGCAGAACAGGACAGAGGCTTGAGGTGGTTCAGACACCAGCAAGGCTCACAGGGGCCTGACAGCAGGGAGGCTGACTGATTTAGTAACACCTGAACAGAGGGGCAAACGTAGAGAAAGGTTTAGTAAGAGTAAAACAATGATCCAAAATAATTACTAATTTGTATATTCATACCAAATCTTTAGGATCTTGGTCTGAGGGGAAATACACAGGAATAAGAATAGCTGAGTAGCATCCAATCAGCAGAACCAAGCTGAAGACAAGGTTCACACCCCTGCACAGCAGAGAAAAAAGCAGAAAATAATTTGTTTTATAGCGTTAAATAACAAGTCCACAAAATAAATACTGTACTATGCAGAAATGTACCTGCTGAGGAAATATTCCGAGGAGTCAGTCTTTGTGACCACTGGCTGTTTGTAAGTCACAGGCGTTAATGATGCAGCCTCGGGCAGCAGTGGGAAACCACCGTCTGTGTCGTGTACACTCAAGTGACTCAGTGTCACCATGGCACCTGTATTCACACCTGAAACACAGACACATTATTGAAATCACTGCAGTGTTTATAATGTCATCATTTAACACTTGATAACCATT